GTTACGCTGCCTTACTGGCTGAGTGCCGGCACTGTTACGCTGCCTTACTGGCTGAGTGCCGGCACTGTTACGCTGCGTTACTGGCTGAGTGCCGGCACTGTTACGCTGCGTTACGACAGCCGTGCAGAACGAGCGGCAGCCCCGCAACACGGCCACCATCAGACCCGAGGCGCTCGCTGAGATGGACCACGACAGACTCCTCAGGGAGGCCGCCGTCGCTGTCGGGGTCTTCGCGTGAGTTAAGTTAATTTAAGAGAGATTATTTAATTAATTAGGGATTATTTGATTAATTAGAGATTATTTGATTAATTTAATTAATTAGTTTAATTTAGTTTATAAATAATCGTAATTTAATCGTCGGAATTTAAAATAGAACATTTAAGAGAACGAAGAGAACGTTTTGCGTGAGTTTACGATCTCTTACAACATACTCATGCTTGGAGATTACGTTTACTTTAGTTAATTTAAGAGATTTGCGTGAGTTTACGATCTCTTAGACATGCTTGGACATGTTTACTGACGTTGGTTTAAGAGAGAACAAGAATTAGAGAGAATTAAATTAATTTACTTAAGAGAGAACGTGAACAGGCGCGATATATTCGCAACAGGAGCGTTTGTTTGCAAGTTGGTTCTTCTCAGCATTATTCAATATAATAAAGATGATTTAGTAATTAATCGGGTGCATTTCGAGCTTTTAATGCGATAAATATTCATTATTGCTCTAAGTTTTGTTTTAATAACTTACTGTGTTTTATTAATATTATTATGATTTAAATAAAATTATTGTAACCGAATTCATAACTTCCAGCCTACCATGTTCGGGGAGCCGCCCCCCTCTCCCCCTCCCCAGCCTGGTCACCGCCATGGGGGGCACTCGGGGCTTCCTCTCCACCACTCACTCTTCCCCTTTTGTTTCCCCCTCACATCCCCTCGCTCCCCCTCTACCCCCTCACCTAACCCCCACCTCCAGCACCAACACCAACAACAACAACAACAATAACAATAGCATGAGTCTTGCCTTCAGTACCCACGCTTTATTAAGCAACAACAGCAAATCCTGTAATAACAGTAACAGAAACAGCAATAACAGCAACAGCTTTAACGTCAACAGCTCCAACGGGACCAAGAACAACGGCGGCATTAACGGCAACGCTTCTAGCACTAAAAACGGTAAACCTGCTAGCTTCGTTCCCGTTTAACGGTAAAATTGTGTAATTTACGAATTTCAGGATATTCATATAAATGTTAATATTGAGTATTATTTTCATGTTTATTGATGTTGGAGATATTTATTATATGAATATGAGTATGTGAGTTTAATTTAGTAACTGACCTCGTATAATGTGAGAGAACATTACTGGACCACCACACATATGTTGCTCCCAATAAGTACGAACATAACAATAAGAAAATAATTAATGTTAAAGCAAAAAAAAGCATCAGAGTACAACGAAGGTATGAAGTCATAGTTAATAATTACTATAATCCCACCCAGGGCTGCACTCCCCAACGTATGGGGCTCCCTCTCCCCCCCTCGACGTGACGGGTGGGGCGACAGAAGGCTCCGACCATCAACATTCCCCTCCTCTCCCCTCAGCCTTCTCCACCAACGTATCCCCCTTTCCAGGGCTCCCTTTCCACCACCGAGGACGCTCTTCATCCCCTTTGAACCCTTCCATCCTTTCCCCTGATTCGACCCTATCCCGTTTGGGGTCCCCCAACCCCTCACATCTACCAAGCAACCCTAAAAACCCCAACCATGGGTTCAAACCCACCCCAACACCACCACCACCGTCATCCCAGCACTCAACCTCGTCCGTCTCGTCGTCGGGGTCATCGGGGTCGTCGGGAGGGTCATTGGGGTCCGGGGGTTTGTCGGGGGGGTTGTCAGGGGGGTTGTGGGACTCAGTGCAAGAGAGTGTGCAAGAGACCGCCGCCCGACTGCTCTTCATGGCCGTGAAGTGGGCCAAGAACCTTCCCTCCTTCAGCAGCCTCCCCTTCAGAGACCAGGTGCGTACTGCCCTCCTTCAGCAGCCTCCCCTTCAGAGACCAGGTGCGTACTGCCCTCCTTCAGCAGCCTCCCCTACAGAGACCAGGTGCGTACTGCCCTCCTTCAGCAGCCTCCCCTACAGAGACCAGGTGCATAATGCCCTCCTTCAGCAGCCTCTCCTTCAGAGACCAGGTGCGTACTGCCCTCCTTCAGCAGCCTCCCCTTCAGAGACCAGGTGCGTACTGCCCTCCTTCAGCAGCCTCCCCTACAGAGACCAGGTGCGTAATGCCCTCCTTCAGCCGCCTCCCCTTCAGAGACCAGGTGCGTACTGCCCTCCTTCAGCAGCCTCCCCTTCAGAGACCAGGTGCGTAATGCCCTCCTTCAGCAGCCTATTTAACCACTACACTAAAATGTTATTTTTTCAATGTGTTAGAACACTTGACACATATATGTCCCATAGTAAAATGTGCATACAAATCCTCATGTGCTTAAAAGCAGACCTAGTTAGCTATGAGTTCACGGTGTCACTGAGAGCTTGCCTCAGATGCTGAGTCGGCAAATTAATCAATATATGTGTCATGAGGACAAGAACCCGGTGGGCGGAAGCGAAAGCTATATAAGGGCTAGCAACATTAAGTCTGGCCTCCCGCTGTAGCTGATAAGCGCTCCGCGATGTAACGTATCGGTTGAGTTGTCCGACTTAACGGTCGACGCCGCAGCTTATACCTCTGTATCGTAACTCAAGTATACCCACCCCGTATACAAGATACGTTATCAGGACTGATGTGTCTTACTTATCCCTCACTACCTTAGTCAACGAACCCGATCCTCAGGTAGACCTTAATAACAGGGCTCTGACATATACATGACATGACAAATATGTATGACATGACACGTAAATATGACATGACACATATAAATAACATGACACGTATACATATTCTAGCGATATTTGTTTATTTATGAAATCCTGAGCAGACCCCTAAACCAACAGGTGGTGCTGCTGGAGGAGGTGTGGTCGGAGCTGTTCGTCCTCAACACCATCCAATGGTCGCTGCCCCTGCCCTCATGCCCTTTGCTCAGCCCCTCTGCTCACGCTCACGCGCTCAGCAACGCTCACAAAGCTGCTCAGTCTGCTCACGACATCAGAACGCTCACGGAAATCACGGCGGCGTTCAGAGAGCACGGCGTAGACCCTGCGGAGTTCGCGTACCTGAAGGCGGTCGTTCTCTTCAGACCAGGTCGACATATTTACAATAACCCTTACCTTAATTGATTTCAAGTTCGAAACATTCCAAATTAACAAGTCACAACATCAAATTTCAAGTTCCCAGTTTCAAATGTAACGATACTCTAATCAATTCAATCAAATTCATTTATATGAAGAATCAGACCTATCGCCTTATTTCCTTTAAGGGGAGCGTCTACCCTAAAATTGAAAATTTTCACTTTTTCGGTTTTTATACTCATTTTAAAGCTGACATTCTGCCCTATCCAACGGTACCACTGCCATATCTGTACGTTGATTAATGATTTCACGACATTTCATGAAAGGGGGGCGGGTGGGGGAGTTCTTTAAGTAATTAGATAGGAACTAATTAACTGCTGAGCTCTTTAANTACAAGAGCTAGGGAGCACCGCCCCCCATGGAGAAGATCCTGTGTGACATGTACAAGAGCTAAGGAACACCGCCCCCCATGGAGAAAATCCTGTGTGACATGTACAAGAGCTAGGGAGCACCGCCCCCCATGGAGAAGATCCTGTGTGACATGTACAAGAGCTAAGGAACACCGCCCCCCATGGAGAAAATCCTGTGTGACATGTACAAGAGCTAGGGAGCACCGCCCCCCATGGAGAAGATCCTGTGTGACATGTACAAGAGCTAAGGAACACCGCCCCCCATGGAGAAAATCCTGTGTGACATGTACAAGAGCTAGGGAGCACCGCCCCCCATGGAGAAGATCCTGTGTGACATGTACAAGAGCTAAGGAACACCGCCCCCCATGGAGAAGATCCTGTGTGACAAGTACAAGAGCTGGGGAGCACCGCCCCCCATGGAGAAGATCCTGTGTGACATGTACAAGAGCTAGGGAACACCGCCCCCATGGAGAAGATCCTGTGTGACATGTACAAGAGCTAGGGAGCACGGCCCCCATTACAGAAATACTACAGCCATGGAATTTGTTTTGATATTAAATTAATAATTGCAGTATTAAACCAATATATATTAGCTCATTCGTCAGACGACGCGTGTACAAATGTACACCTTATGACCTTATGATGAGTTCGGGACTTTCCTAGTCCCCGGTCACGCTGATGCGCCGCCTTTGTCGTCCTCCGTCTCCGAGTCTTCGCTTGGCAGGTCACCCCGCCCTCGGGTCCCGGATGTAACGTTGGACGTGTTCCGTCTATTTGCCCTCCTTTGGGCCAGCTGATGCAAGATGCTGTTGCTTGTCACTTGCTGAAGGTAGTTTCCCATTACTGGACAATCCGAGGTCTTTCTCAACCACTTGTCCAGTTGTCTCTTGAATGTTGCAAGGGTGAACTCCCCTCCTCTCAGCGCTTTTGGTAAAACATTACAGAGCCTCGGTCCTACCACGGACAGTGATCCCTCACGAAGCGTCTGTACTCTGGCCGCGGTTATTAAATGGGGGAACATCGCACAGTCTCCCTCTCCTTTCATTGTAACGTGTCACTATTCTGGAGGTCTCATTTTCAAAGTTGTGAGCCTGTCCGGTTGGGTATCATCTTCCAAGTGTACAGTATGATATACCTTTCTCTTCTTCTCTCCAGTGAGTACAGTTCCAGGTGTTTCAGCCTTCCCCAATAGTTCAGGTTCAGCTCCCTCATGCCGCTGATCCTGTACGTGAAGGTCCGTGCTGTGTGAACGTCCGTGCTGTGTGGAGGTCCGTGCTGTGTAGAGGCCCGTGCTGTGTGAAGGTCCGTGCTGTGTGGAGGCCCGTGCTGTGTGAAGGTCTGTGCTGTGTGAAGGTCCGTACTGTGCTGTGTGCTGAGATGGTCGCTGTGTACACATATACACTGCTGTTTGGGTGCAGTAATCGTGCCAATTGTAAATTGTAAATAACTTTTGCCGAACTGCACAATTGTGCCAACGATGTTTCTGTACATAAACTGATAAGAATTAAAGATTGTAGTCGTGCAATATCAAGGTGAACGTAAACCGGCTTGTACATTCAGCAGGAATGATAACAACATTTTCCTATTGTATTTTCTATACAGAGGAGAAAATTATTTGTGAAGATTTTTAAAACCTATTTGTATCGTACATGGAAGTTTCCCGCACCAGGAACTTGTGCATCAATTATTTTCCTGTGCTTGCAAAAAATTATTTTCGAAGAACTGAATGACGGTTAATTGCTGCGATATTTTACTGCAACATCTCATAGGAGAAAATGATTTATTAATTATATTTACGATGTATGTACAGACAAAATAAGGGAAACACCTAAGAAATCCACAAAATATATTTTCGTATGGTGTAGGTCCACTTTTTGCGGCAATCACTGCCTCAATTCTCCGAAGTATTGATTCATATAAATTGTGAATTATTTACAAGGGAATTTTAACCCATTCCTCAGTTAAAACTGTCTCCAGTTCTTTTAAAGGCGATTGTGGCGAGAATAGACTTCTGGCAAGCATCTCTAAAATCGACCATCAATGCTCGATAAAATTCAGGTCTGGTGATTGTGGTGGCCAAATGAGATGCTCAACTTCATTAGGATGTTCCTCGTGCCATTTTTTTAACAATTCCAGCTGTATGGATCGGGGCATTATCATCTTGAAAGATGGCTTTCCAATCCAGAAACAGTGCTTGAACCATTGGATGAACTTGGTCCTCCAAAATTCCTAAATAGTCACGGCTGTTGATTCTTCCATGAAGAGAAATCATTGGTTCGCCAGATTTCTAAGAAATAACACCCCAGATAAAACCGCTATGTTTTACGGTCGGGAGGAGGCAGTTGGGATTAAATGAGTCTTTTGGCTATCTTCAAACGTCAACTCGGCCAGAGGTTAGAAATAAAGTAAACGATGATTTGTCGGAGAAAATCACATTTTTCCACTGCTCGAGGGACCAAATCTGGAGGTTTTTACACGACTCTAAACGCTTGAAAGCATTTGTATATGAAACCAGAGGTTTTCTAATTGCAGCTCTTCCATATAATCAAGATCAGTGCAGCCCTCGGCGGACAGTCTTTATGGAAACAGTGTTCTGAATGTGTCCATTGAGGCCTGCAGTAATTTCAACAGCCGTGGTCTTTCGACTGTCCCTCACAATTCTATTTAGGTTCCGACGGTCTCTCTCAGACAACTTCGACTTTCGGCCAGACCTGTGCTTTGCTGAGGACGTTTTTCCTTCTTTTTCAAAAGCAGTCATTACTTTTGGCCCAGTACCTCTAGAAACGTCAAGCATACGGGAAGTTTCTGTCACACTAGCACAACTGGTCTCTTTGAGAGTCGGATTGGTTTGTCATTTATTGGTTATAGGTTAGGTTATACATACACAAAAATTTTCTAAAAATATCTGTGCAAGGATTAAATATCAATTAGCAGCAACAATAAACAATAAAAATATATCACGATTTCATTGTTTATCGCATGTTTGAAATTACGATATCAAACGAAATATGGCAAGCGCCATAAGTAAATAACATAGATTACTTCTTCAATGTCAAGCTGATTTTAGTATCTACATTGTACAAAAATAAATTTACGATAAGGGATTTCACTCCCAAGAAGTTCATACGTGAATAGCTGTGCCAAAGCTAATAATAGGATTTAGATAAGTGGGCGTACGGCCTTACGTACTACTGTAGAAATATTTAAAATTAATTTCATGTGTTTATGTTTAATTTTGTTCTATATTTCATTGAAATTAGAGAGTTGTCTCGCCACGGCTTTCATTTAGGGCTTAGATTGTAAATATAAATCGTATCGTCATAAGAAATTTTTGTAAATAGCGACCCGAAAGATACTTCCGTGAAATAAATAAGAAGCTACCTGGTAAGCACGACAATATGGAATTTAATGTGTAGGAATTTTGAGGAAATAAATGTAGGATATTTTATACAATGGGCTTGTGCAAGTTGTAGCGACGTATCGTTTCCCTGTAGTGTTCTAGTCAAATAAAGTGTTAATGCAAATACGTAATTTACAATTTATTAACCTATGTGAACGATAAAGAACGTTAACCATTATCAGTCGTTTACTAATAGCATTTAATTTTTCCATTTCGTGAGAATAATTATCTTTATTACGTACCTCATCAATACGTAATTTCCTTCATCAGTGATGGGATAGAAGTCGCTATTTATTTATCAGTTAAGTCAAATTAGAAATTAATTTATCGTTTGGTCATGCAATTTCAAGTTAATGGTTGGATTGAGAATACCAAGAACATTAGTTAAAAATCAAACGCGTTTGGTGGATTGCAGACGACGCTAGCGTTTCAAACGAAGATTAAGGAATGATAGCGGGATGCCGACATGAACGAACCTTCTATTAGGTAGAGACTGAAGACAACTAAATTCCTCCCGTATGGCGCTGCAAGTGAGCTCAACGAAACGCCAGTCGAAATAAAAAAAACACGATGCGCATCTGACGATATCGCAAATAGAAAAATTAGACGGAAAAATTAGATGAAACAGAGAGACTGCAATTATTTCGAATTATTTGCTGATAAAAGAAGGTAAAATGAAACAAATGATAAAAAGCCAGTTTTTAGTATCTCTCCTCTCAAGACAATCTCATGCAATAATTAGGAACTAAGTTGTCTCCATCTGATCAACTTCATCAAGCTTGGGCTTCTTTGAAACGTTGCTTTTGGGACTTTCCAAAGCCCCGCCGTTCTTATGGTCTCCTAAGTCCTCATCCGTCTTGGGGATCACGTCCCCACTCCCCACGACATCCTCGTCCCCATCCGTCTTTGACATCACGTCCCCACTCCCCATGGCGTCCTCGTCCCCGGTCTGGTCCCCCTGGCGCACGCCCCCCACGTGGGTGTCGAGGAATTTGTTCTTCAAGAAGCGCGACGTGTCCGCCCCCAGCAGACGGAGGTAGTGGACGCGGTCGTTGCGGGCAACGTAGCAGCGGATGCTCGACTTGCCCTTCCACCCCACCAGCTCCATCTGCACCAGCAACAGTAACATGTAATTCTCTGTCTACGGATCTCTAGTTAACAGCGACCGTACTATTAAATCTCGCTCAATTATACGTAGCGGCCGCAGTGCATGAAGCGGCCTAAGTGCATGAAGCGGCCTAAGTGCATGAAGCGGCCTAAGCTCGCTTCGAGTCACCGACATGTGGAACAGCCTCCCTGATAGCATCGTTGAAGCTCCGAGTATGAACATCTTCAAAAACAGACTAGACGAAGCTATGCAGGAGCATATGTTCAGTCTTAAAATGCCTAGCAAATTACGGACCAGGCAATAAGTCCAGACGAAGCTATGCAGGAATAAGTCCAGCAGCTATCTCAATCAATCGTCAGCTATGGAAAGATCGGGTTCCAAAGGCCGGATCCCTTGTGAATCAAGTCACGAAAAGTTCAAGAATCGGCAACAGGCCATGGGCCTATTTCTTCAACGCCGACACTTCTATTCTATTCTATTCTAAGTGTATGAAGCGGCCTAAGTGCACAAAGCGGCCAAAGTGCACGAAGCAGCCTAAGTGCGCGAAGCGGCCAAAGTGCACGAAGCGGCCTAAGTACGCGAAGTGGCCTAAGAGCACAAAGAGGCCTAAATGCACGAAGCGACCTGAGTGCACATAGCGGCTGAAGCACGAGTAACGGCTAAAGTTCAGGTAGTATCAAAAGTATCCGTAGCAGCAGAAGTGCATTTAGCAGCCTAAGCACACGAAGCGGCTTAAGTACACGTAACGGCAAAATACACACAGCGGTCTAGCTACACATTGCGCTTTTTTATAAAAATAATTTAGCATTATTTGCACTGTCATTGCAAATAATGGAAGTGATAAAAAATTGCGCCTAACAATTCCGTAAAATAACCACCAACTGTGAGCTGGAGAAAACTTACCGTAATATTAACTCTCAAAAAGACAAAAAAAAAAATTACCGAGTAAGAACTTTTAGGCAGAATCTAAGCATTTAATACACGAGCTTAGTGAAAACTTATAAAAAGATAATACTTATAAATAAGTAAATATATGCCTACGCAAGCAACATACCTTGAGAGTGCGGCGTGGCAGAGGGTCAGCGGGACTGTCCCCCTGAGCGCTGGGGTCACCCGCGTACTCCAGCAGGACGCTGCCCGTCTCTGTGCAGGGTGAAGGGAGATGAGTGAAGGGTGGGGGAGTAATACGCGCGTTGTGTCTGCCCTCTATGTCACTCAACCACATCACAAGCACCACAACACCCACGTCGCTCACATCACCAGCACCACGACACCAACGTCACTCACCCACATTACCACACCACGACACTCACATTACCAGCACCACGACAGCCGCATCACCAGCACCCCGTCACTCACCCATGTCACCAACACTCCGTCACTCACCCACATCACCAACATCCCAACACTCACCCATGTCACTAACAGAGCGCTGGCACCCAGCAGACATGGTGGCGAGGTCAGGTGGCGTGTCATTGTCATCGTCGTTAAGAAGCGTCAAGAGGTCCTCCTTCGTCACCACCACACGACGCTTCGTCAGCAGCGGCACCAGCGACTGCACCCCCTGCAACATGCAACAACTGAATAATAATGATGGTCGGGAACTGAATAATATGTTCTAGTGGCAACTGAATAATAATGATGGTCGGGAACTGAATAATATGTTCTAGCGGCAACTGAATAATGATGATGGTGGGGAACTGAACAATATGTTCTAGTGACAACTGAATAATATGTACTTGTGGCAGCTGACGTGGATGATGGTGGAAAACTGAATTTGCTGGGTGAATGAAAAATTCAAACGGGGGAACAAGAATTCATGTCGCAAAAAATTACGACTTTACATCTTCAAACAGCCAAACAGCGATAAGTGGGAGGGACAATGCATGACTGGGAAAGAAAAAATAAATTATTTTACTTATACAAAAACGTAATAGTTATATTATCATGATTCGCTTCTGATGGTCACTCTATTACTATAGCTAGAATAATACAATGTTTTTTAAATAAATAATTTTAATTTAATTTATACTAATAAATAATTTTACTTTTTAACACACATTGTTTGCACATTGCAATAGCATGTATTGATATATGTTGATCTGTTTCCGTATCATTATAATATATAATTAAGATATTATATGATTTACAATATTGATTTCTTTCCGTGTCATTACACTATAGGTATATTTAAGATATTATATGGTTTACAATAAATATTTTTTATGGTAATAAGAATAAATAAAGCCGACCTCCTGAGCCAGTCGGAAATCGCACGAGGTCCCCTTGTTGTCTACCCGCACCAGCACCTTCACGCCCGTGTTGATTATCTGGTGAAAATCAACAAGAGTGAGATGACATGTTGATATATCGATGATACACGCCTCTTAATTAATCATGACTCAAGTCAACTCAAGTCAAATGACTCAAGTCAAATTAATGACTCAATTAAGTTCATCCATGACTCCATAAGTTAAAAAAATATAGCTCGGTACTCACTGCAGTGAGTGACAGAGAGCGCATTTTCTCGTCGACAAAAACGTGAAGTCACGGACGGACAGACAGACAGACGGACGGACAGACAGACGGACGGACAGACGGAAGGGCGGCCATGGCGAGCACAATAGGGCATTTTTCCATAAATGAGAAAATGCGCTAAAAAGAGGCACTTAGCAAATAAATGAGTGACATTGTAAAAAGAATGAAACACTTTCACGATCCTAACTGGGTCAGGATGATTCATTTGAGGGTAAAACTGCATCGCAATTCAGACAAAGCCTCACTCATTTCTCTGTGTGGGCGGCGTTCACGCGGACCTGGTTGGTTGCGGATAATGAGGTCCTCTTACCTTCATGCGGTCCTGGTTGCGGGTAATGAGGTCCCCTCACCTTCATGCGGTCCTGGTTGTGGGTACGGTCCTGGTTGCGGGTAATGAGGTCCCCTCACCTTCATGCAGTAATGAGGTCCCCTCACCTTCATGCGGTCCTGGTTGCGGGTAATGAGGTCCCTGACGAGGGCGTTGGTGAAGTATAGGTTCCTCCTCTTGCCCTCACGGCTGCGAGTCATAAAGTTCCTGTAGGAGGCCTCAGGGATGTCCGTCCGTAGCCCGAAGAAGGGCGAGATCGTCGACCAGATGCGCAGGTCGTCCACTTCAGGAGCCAGCTTCGTGGGAGCCGCGGTCTTTGCACTTGATGAAGAATCTTTGCGGTCTTGGTCCCTGGAGGTCGATTCGGGTTCTACCGAAGATATTTTGTTGTCTTCTGTTGGTTCGTGGTTAGCAGTAACCAGTTTACCGTCAGTTCCACCAGCAGTAACCGGTTTTCCGTCAGTTTCACCAGCAGTAACCGGTTCACTGTCAGTTCCACCAGCAGTAGTCGGTTCACTGTCAGTTCCACCAGCAGTAATCAGTTCACCGTCAGTTCCACCAGCAGAAACAACAGGTTTTCCGTCAGGTACCGAAACTTTATCAATCTTGCAATGGTTTTTTTCACTTTCGGAAAGTTGAGTTTCTTGGGTTGTAGGTTTCAGCTTGCCATCAACTGAATTAGTTTGTTCTTGAGCTTGTGGCTCAACTGAAGCAGTTGCTGCACGTGGTTCTGAAGAAATTATAGAGGGCGTGGTACCCCTGGCAGCCTCCCACTGGGCGATGGAGTCGCTCATGTAGAAGTAAGGCTCTTCCCTGTAGCCATCCCTGCGCCGCTTCCTCGACTGCTGCTCAATGAATCATATTGAGTTAAAAGTTCATTTTTCTGTCAGTAATGTCACTGATGATAATCATCATTAAGAAAAAATATAACTCAGTACTCACTGCAGTGAGTGACAGAGAGCGCATTTTCTTGTCGATGAAAACGTGAAGTCACGGACGGACAGACAGACGGACATGGCAAGCACAATAGTGCATTTTTTCATAAATAAAAAAATGCGCTAAAAAGGATGGTTGTTTGGTCCAGAATATCATCGGTAATTTTTGAAATTTAAAAACACATTTATTATATGTACCTATTATTAAGATGGTTGTTCAATACGGAATATCATCGGTATCTTTTGTAATTTAAAAACACATTTATTATATGTATTACTAACTAATAATTAAATAATCCATTTACACTGAATCATCACTAGCAATAAAGAAGTATATTTTGTAAGAAGCATTGATGGCAAGTACCTATTTCAAGAATATTTTTATTCAGTCAATATTTCATTGAGTCAAATTCAACTAATAATAAGGTATAGCTGACGGGCTTGACACGCTGCGACAGCTGCTGTGGCGCCAGAGCCTCTGCGCTGTCCTGACGCTCGCCGGGCAGCGGCGCGTTCTTCTGCAGCACTGCCACGAAGAAGCCCCCGGTGTCCTGCTGGTGAGGCAGCAGGCGTAGGCTGCAACAAACACTGTCTGCCTCAGAGTACGTAACTTCTATAATAATTCTCAAAGTTTGTGTATTATTTCCATCACATTCTGAATGAAATGCATTTCCGTGATTATTTTCATATAATTGACGGCCCATTCTGTACTTGACAGAGTGGTATCACCTGCATGACAAGTACCATCTGTCAAGGCATGACACGTACTGGTACCATCTGTCAAGGCATTACACATACCACCTGCTAAGGCTGAGGCACGTAGCACCTGTCAAGGCACTGTATGCCAAGACATGACACATACCATCTGTCAAGACATGACACATACCATCTGTCAAGACATGACACGCACCATCTGTCAAGACATGACACATACCATCTGTCAAGACATGACACATACCATCTGTCAAGACTGAGATCCTGGTCTAGTACCACCTGTCAAGACATGACACGCACCATCTGTCAAGACCGAGGTCCTAGTCTAGTACCATCTGTCAAGACATGACACGCACCATCTGTCAAGACATGACACGTACCATCTGTCAAGACCGAGGTCCTGGTCCACAGGGAAGAGATGCTTGTGGTACACGTTGGTCCACTTGAGGGGTATGTCGGCAGCGCTGGGTATCACCTCCATGTCCTTGCTCATCACGCACCACTTCGTCAGGCCTTTACGGTACTGCAAGTTAACCATTTAATCTTTAATAACATGCGATACAAAATTAACAACATTACTAAATGCAGTATTAAAAAATGGTATATACAATCTGCAATAAGCACAATAAATCAGTGCAATAAGCAGAATGTTACGAATAATTATACCCCATATTGCTACACAATGTTGATCAGACCGTGGCCACAAGAAAGTAAGAGAAATCTATTAACAAAATGAAAACTTGATCTAAAACGTGAGGAAAATTAAGATATACCAGGTCAAATACTAGGAAAATATAATCATCAATATTGAAAATATTATGAAACTCAAGTAAGCAATGATAAAAGTAATCCAATATATAAAACAAAGATTTTTCAATAATTAGACGATGTTTCAATGAAGTGCAATCATAGCACAAGGGCGGCAATTAAATCAATATATGCGCTCATATGAAATTTATTCAAGATAATTAAGTTTCATTACGTAATAGGTGCAAGAAATCCTACAAAATTTCTTGATATAAGGCATTAAAGAAAATTAATTATAATAACCTAATATTTATTATTAATTAATTAATAATTAATTATTAAAAATTAATTAATTAATTTTACTTAAAAAAACTATGTAACCGAGAGGTTCGAAGGCGTTCATAAACCAGATCAAAAGGCGTTCTTCTAAACCAAATTAATTGTTAACTACTACCAATTATTTGTCTTTACCTTAAGGCCAAATTTCTCGATATAAGATGTTAAATAATATTAATTATAAACTCCAAAAAACTGTGCAACCACGAGGTTCTTAATCATAAGGTGTTCTTCTAAACCAAATTAATTGTTAACTACTACCTATTATTTATCTTTACCTTAAGGCCAAATTTCTCGATATAAGATGTTAAATAATATTAATTGTAAACTCCAAAATCTGTGTAACCTAGAGGTTCTTGATTAAAAGGTGTTCTTCTAAACAAAATTAATTGTTAACTACTATTATTTATGTTTACCTTAAGGCCAGGCAGAGCCCCCGTACAGTCGACGAGCGACACGGCGCCCTCGGTCTCGAGCAGGAGCCGCTGCATGACCGCCTCGTCCTCCATGGGGCTCATGGAGCAAGTGGAGTACACCATGCGGCCACCAACCGCCAGCAGCTCCAGGCCCCGACGAGCTATACGAAGCTGCAACAACCATTATGCAGTTATTATACTAATATTATTTAAACTTCGATGGTAATATTTTTTCAGTGTTTTCCAAGAGAGTTATTTTTCTTATTTTCTCTATAGTTTTGAGAAAGGTTATTTTTACCCACTTTAAAATATTTTTAAGAAAACTTACTCTAGATATTTTTCCAGCATCATGGGAAAGCTATTAAATGACTTATAACATATAAAACTCAAGTCATTTTGTAATTGACTCAAAGGATCAACAAAATATTTATGACAGGCTTATTTTTACTAAAGCCACCACTAATCTCAAGTTTCCTGAGAACCAGACCTGCAGACCGTGCAGGTTAGCCCCGTTGACGGGGTTCCATTTGCCCCACACATCGCAGTTCTTGCGCAGGGTGCCATCACCAGAACACGGGACATCACACAGGATGCGGTCGTACTTGAGCTTGCCGGTGCTACCATCTGTCAAAAACAACCATAATGAATGGTATGAAGTACGTATAACAAACACTGCGTTGATATTACCTTGTGCCATGTTCAATAAGTAAGTGATGAATGTCATTTTTTATTGTACATTTTTAGAAATTCATAAAATTCTTTCAAAGTACTTAAACAAAAGTGAGGAAAAAATTCGTTTACAATTCAAATCATGATTATTTTACATAAAATTGATCGCAAATGAAGAAATATCTGTTCATGTTTATAGAAACAGATTCGTGCAAAATTTTCATACATTTGTTGATGTACATATAATGTACAACAAATGATGTTTGAGATGTAACAAGCTCGTTGTTACTGGCCAATGGTGTCCATCGCACCACCAGCTGACGAGCTACATGAAAAATTGTAATATTTTTTTTCACTAACAAGACGACTTAATGGACTTGGAAAAATATTTTGATGAAAGATAACAAATGATGTTAAAAACACTTTGCAGGATTGTAGTGGAATGTATTCTATATATGTAACATTTCTTAGGATAGAAACTTGAGAATTACTGACCATTTTTGGTGTAAAACATGTTGGGCATGAATGCAGCGTCGTGGTTAGTGATGATGATACAAGGACTCTGCAGGCGCTTGGCCTGATGAGTGAGGAGGTAGCAGCGCTTGTTGTCCGAGTCGTTGGCAACCACCACACCTGTGGGGATGGCTCCTCGCAGGGCGTCTGGGGAGCTGTGCAGCTGCTCAATTATCTGAGCCGTCTTGCTGCCAGGGGCGGCACACATGTCTAACACCTGTCAAGGGTAACTTATTAATACTTGGTCTGCCAATACCAGCTCAAAATGTATTAAGGAACATGCATCATTCAGGGTAACTTATTAATCCTTGGTCAACCAATACCAGCTCAAAATGTATTAAGGAACATGTATCATTCATGTACCATTCATGCACCATTCATGTACCGGTATCATTCATATATCGTTCCCGTATCATTCATGTTTAATTAATGAATAAATGAAGCAGGTACACGTTAGGTGCATTTGAGTTGGCTGGCAGAGAAAAAGTATAAGTACTTGAATGTCAAATGTCATTTGCAAAAAAGGTAATTTGTTCTTTCAATTATATGCATGAATTTTCTCCTTTTTAATGTTATTAGAAGAACGTTTTGCAAAAACCTGTTAGGAACTTTTGGTTTCAATCAATTTTACTCTTAATAATAGATTTAAAAAAGGCAACATAGGATTTTTTGCTGATGTTGGTTTAATTTAAATTTTCCCACCTTATGGTGAGGCTGGACATCGAGCAGCAGCGGAGGTATCATGCTCACAGCCTCCTGCCTGCTGATGTTGCCAGTGTCAGTCTCAGATATGAGGCACTGGTGCAGGCGCCAGTATGCCTCACTACGCCTTATGTCTCGTCGTGATAAGTTCAGTTGGTAAGCCAGACCTCGCGGGTACCAAGATAAGCATACTGGCTGCAAAGGCTTCACTGGCTCTTCCATTCCTGCTTCACTGTCAGTCATTTCCAAAGTTGAGTTTGCAGTAACATTTTTGCTGTCTGAAAGAGTTTCTGACTCTTTATTGCCATTTGAGGTATTAATATTTTCTGAATTTGATTTAGAGTTTTTGCTTGTAGAAATAAGTTCTTCAGGAGAAAGATTCTCTAGAGGCTTGAAGTAATCATTGATCAAGATTTCCCGGAGTGCTTCAGCTTGTGTTGAGTTTCCTGCAAGCAACAAATGACATTAGAATGTATAGAAAAATTTTAAGCTATAAACTTCTATATGGTATTAAAAATAACACTTATTGTAACTGTGACTTCTTGACACTAATGAAAAATCAAGTTGCTTGAATCATATAAATGGAAGGTATATATAATTTTTATTGGAAGTAGTTGATACTAAATAACAGGACAAGGTCTTCAATCATAGATGAAAGAATATAATCAAGCCAAATTTTTAAAAGAGCTCCAAAATTCAAAGTTCTTTCAAAGCGCCTAAAGCCACTAAACATTACCAGTAATTCTGAAGGCTGCAGGCAGACTGCTTACCAAGCTGCTCATAAATGCAGGCCATTCCTCATCACTCACAAGCTCCTGTTTCTGTAAATCATGGGTTCATGGAAACCAATTAATTACCAGTTGAAAAACAACGTCATCAGCGGCCATAAGATTGGCCCTTCACAGATGAAATTAGTCCAACGTTAGAACAAGTTTTATCGCATGCAGAGTGATACTGTGATGTGTTATCATGATATAATAATATGAAATATGTTTAATGAAATAATACTAAGATGCATCACTGGATAGATAGCATCACTGGCTTGATTGTTGAGGAGGTTTGGGTTAAGTTTCACATTTCTTAACCACCCTAGGCCAGCTCCATTTATATACATACACAGTGAGAAAATCAGGAAATTTGTTTACAGCAAGCTTTTACTTGTAACCACTAGTTAAAGACGTGACAGTAAAGAGTCTATTATAATAGTACGTATATACCTATTACATTTTTTCAAGTATTTTTTGTGAGTTAAGGCTGCTACATATGTTCTTTAAAAAAATAATACTATGGAATTTTACAATTTCATGACAACTTTTGCCTAGACTTGAAGTACTAGTAGTAACTTTGGCCCAAACATTGAAATGAGTACTACTAATGATAAGAGTAATAAGACCAATAAAGTTTTGAGGAAGAAAAACAAAAAAGTTGCAATTCTTCTTCTAATGAAGAAGATACTGAGTCCTGAGATGATATTTGAGTCTAATATGCAAATCAAAACTGATGAAAACTGGTAATTTTATCTTGTCTAACTGAAACCAACATAGATTTCATATGGTTTAAAATTATGGGACAAAGTTTACCCATTCAAAGATAACTTTGGCCAATACATAAAAAAAAGGATGATATTGTCAAGTAATTTAGAGGGCTAAATATGATTTCAGTTTAATGATATGAAATTTATTTAAAGAAAAAATCCATTAAAAATTGATAGAATCTATGTCATAAGATTTGATGCAGTGATGCTGACAAAACTATACTACTATAATACCTAACAAGCATTAAATTTGAGGCCAATCTTACCCCAGCTTATTGTATTTCAATAACAAATACTACAGGATATTTTATAAAAGTGAAACTCAATAACAACAGTTTTTCATTTATCCACATGGTAATAATTTACAGTGCAACAAAGAAAGCAAAGCAAGTAGTAAATTATTGGCTCATGGCTGCTCACCTTATAAAATGTTTCGAAGTCCTTATTTTCCTTTTTTGCTACAATGTAGCCACCATCAGCAGTGCGCTCTCGCTTTGGCTTCTGAAATACAAAATAAACATAAGAATGCATTCAAATTTTTACTATTTGAGCTTGAGCAACATATTTTAAACCAAACTGACACAATTCCAACTATTCCAGACTGTAGAGCATGGCACAACATAGGTCGAGGACGCCGATTTCATGCACCAAAGACGCCGAGCAGGATGCCACTGGAAACCACTGGACGCCGGTCGCCAATTATGCTTCTCCATAAATCACGATTTACGATCGATATGGCCGATGCGCCGTATTGATCTACACGCTACGATCGTAACTATGTGTTGTAGCGCGTAGTTCCGATGGTGGTGAGAGCTACATTTGAGCACCCAATCATACGAGCTCATAGCCACCTGAACTGCGCGATGTAGCGCGCAGTTCCGGCGCCTGTGAGAGCTACATTAGATGTGGCTGATGGAGAGCTTGAAAAGACGCCGATATCTCGAGCTAAAAGGCCCTACTCTACAGCCTGGCAACTATTAACATGAATGCTTCAAGTCAATAAAAACTTCTTGAAACTGTCATAAACCATAAATTTAAATTAAATCATAGTAAAAATTGAAACAGTAGGTATATTATAATACACATAAATTAAGTTATACTCATTAGATTTTAATACTACACATGGCAGTTTACAGTTTAGCTATTTAAAGCACAATTGCACTGTTTGCACATATCAGAATATAAACATTCAGCACTTTAGCAGGCTGCAGGCAGGGCATGAGACAGCAAGGGGTGCATTAGAGGTGAAGATCATGACTCCATGTCCCATGATATGATGACATTTGACTAGAAAAATCAATCACAGCTCACTGCTCACATATGACATAATATCCACCAACAATAATGAAATTAATAGGTTATAATGTTCAAATTATAAGGAATAAATGGATGGCTAATTTTAAAAGTATGAATTTGACAGCAGGCCAAAAAAATGACTCACATCAACTTTACTCAGTTTACCCTCCTCGGTTTCGGGTTTTGAGTTGGTCTTTCCTTTCTTGTTCCATTTTCTACCCATAATTTATGAAATATTTGAAGATAATCACGCAAAATTCTTAATATTTCAAGCGATAATAGTGAGCAACTAAGATCTTTAAATTTGATAGAAACCCGGCAGGTGTAGGTGTGCTCAAAATCTAAACACACACGCGGTGAGTCGATTACGGACATACGTAAACACGTCCTCAGTCCGCGCTCCGCATTCAACATATTGGACACACAAGACACAGCTCTAGTTTTATTATTATAATGATAATAATAATAATAATAGCGGTTTCAGCGTTTAGTAGGCCGTAGGCCTGTCGCCGAATCTTAACATCGCAGAATATTCACAGCATTTTGCGCGAACTAAAAAAAAATCATGAAAGAGTACAGAAGAAGTCTATAATCGCGAAAATCATACAATATCGTTTATACGCATTTCCACAGTCTGAAGTAATGAATTATATTATTTTAAATTGCAGAATGGTTCCTACGAGATAGTTACTAAAAAATATAGTCGGATCTCTCATGAACACCTAGTGTAGACTGAAGGTCGGGCTTAATAATAATAATAGCGGTTTCAGCGTTATTAGGCCGTAGGCCTGTCGCCGATTTTTACCATGCAGAACATTCACAGCATTTTACGGTCTCGAACTCGCAACTCACTGCTCCAATTCTGCTCCGCTTAACCGCCCGGCCTCCTTGCCGATTCTGACCATAAACTGGAGCCATACAGAGCTGGGATCGAACCCGCGCCTCTCTGCTCCAATCTTGGTACTCTGAACTTTAACCACTGGGCCACCCTGCTGCGCCACTGGGCTTGGGGGAGATTCAATTTTCACTCGTTTCGCTCTATAAAATTATGACCGATGATTATAAAAAGGAATAATTAAAAGTCCCAATTATTGAATATAACCATTATTTATTGTATCCAGTGCATTTAACACAGAACTGAGATATTCAACGATATCTAACTAAAATTTGACGCTTAAAAATAATAATTAAACTGAATGACCCAAATGCAGAAGTTCAACAGCTCTCGCAAACATTCAAAGCAGTTAAAACTGTACTAGGCTGGCCTTAGCAGTTCAACACGTTCCAAGGCCACCACAAGCAGTTCAACACGTCCCAAGGCCACCACAAGCAGTTCAACACGTCCCAAGGCCACCACAAGCAGTTCAACACGTCCCAAGGCCATCACAAGCAGTTCAACACGTCCCAAGGCCATCACAAGCAGTTCAACACGTTCCAAGGCCACCACAAGCAGTTCAACACGTCCCAAGGCCATCACAAGCAGTTCAACACGTCCCAAGGCTACCACAAGCAGTTCAACACGTCCCAAGGCCACCACAAGGAGTTCAACGCGTTCTAAGGCCACTTCAGGCAGTTCAACAACCACACATTCAACAGTTATAAGAAGATATAAAGGCCGAAAAAACGAGCATCTTTCTCACCCTCAACATTGATATCTTCATTATGCTGTAATAGTAAGACACGTTGCTTCAATGGAATGTTGAACCAAGAGTTACAACGTGTAAACAGTAACTAGACAAGTTAACAACATTGAACATCATACATTAAATGTCATGCATTCATTTAAGAATGTCATACATAGAATGTTGAACAACAGCCACTTCAAGCCCCAATATCAGCATCATGATACCAATGTTTGAGTTAGAAAGATCTGAACTGAAATAAAAAAAGAAGAAGTTATCACAAAAAAATCCGATACATTAATAAAGCTAAAAATTTCCGAAACATTTTTAGAACCGCATCTTCACAAACGCGCTCAAAACAATATGAGAACTGGCTAACAAGAAACGTACACTAAAAATAGATAACTAACCAACTGAAAAAAATAAGTAACTAACACACGAACAAAATATCAAGTCATTCACCCAGAGAAATAAATGAAACTCTTGTCAAAATAGTGATGCACTCTTTGCCCTCGTCTAGCAGTAGTTTAAACTGAGTCAAGATGAACCAGTATGGGCCATACTTTCAAAATTCGCTAAGTGAACGTAAGTACTTACGCTCTATTTTCTTGTTTATGATTGGTGGATTTTGCTTGAAAGGCCGTCAATGATTGGCTGATAAACTTACGATCTCTTAACTTTTTTGAAAGTATGGGCCCAGGGTGAAAAAGTGTGTCACTAGTGGACAATAGGATCACTTTATTTGTCTGAGTGATTAACAGAGTACTACTAGCAGTGAACACCCCATACAAAAGTGAAGAATAAATGAAAATAAATGGGGAATAAATGGAATAAATGAAAATAAATGGGCTGTTGATGTGAACTTTGATGCCGTGTAGGGGAGTGGGAGGTCGACTGTAGAAATGCTGGGTCGAATAATTGTTGAAGAGAATAGGCCTACAGGAGGCGTTATAATCAAAACGGTGGACCAATATTAGGTCTAAGACGTCAGTAAAATTAGAATGAAAATTCAAAAAGAATATGTGAACTTGGATGCCAAGTAGGGGGAGTGAGAGGTCGACTGTAGAAATGCTGGGTCATATAATTGTTGAAAATAATAAGACCTACAGGAGCCGTTAAAATCAAAACGGTGGACGAAAAATAGGTCTAAGACGTCAGTAAAATCAATAGGATTTTTTCTTTGGGTAGCAGATTATCTAATTTTTCTGCAAGAAATAAATTTGCTTGAAATACTAGAAAACCAAATTAGAATTGGAAAAACAATTTCGAGCCACTGAATATTTTTCAACACAAAGAACACAAAATTCAACGTAGGTTCCAAACCCAGATCTGCTATGCAGAAAAAAGAAAATGAACTTGTCGCAGAGTAAAGATGAGAGAAGATTTCCTTAGTTCAACTCTTATAGAACTAAAGAAAACGACACTAAAACGCTAGAAGAGGTACCGCTAGATGTGAAGCCTACAACAAAACACCCAAAAGTTTATATTAAAACATAATAATATTCAAATACTGTAACTTATAACATAATGAGAAACTATTCCTTTCAATGTAACGAGTAATTAATACAGTTACAAGTCGCAAGAGGCAGTGTGGACATACAGTTAAGTATGTGTACGCATACATTCATATGTATGAGCATACATTGATGTGTAACTATTCACATACATGAACATACATTCATGTATGAGCAAAACATGAACAAGTCTGCGCAAGTTTTAAATAAATTAGTTTGCATTAGCAGCATATTTTTATTATTAGTTATTAAATAAACTTGCCCAAATTTTACGCTCTTTAATTGAAGAAAGCAACGTTCAAACCTCAATTATTGAAATCAAATTCAAACAACGATTTAATATTAAAAGTGAACACTAACTGAAACATAATGAACATAATTGTGGGCTGGACCAACAAAAATGCTTCTAACATATTAGTGTAGAAAAATACTTATATAAATATTGCAATTGTTCACTTAAGTAGCAAACACGATCAATTCTGTACACATTCATGTTTAGACACTTCAGTAACTTTGACATAGTAAAACAGCGGCGTTTCCTTTTTTATAATTGATACAGAAAGATTATTTATTTAATATGAAGGCATTGGTATGGAGGAACCTATACCGCAATTCCTTTCTGACATACAAACAATTCCTGTTGCTAATGTTAAACTGAAAAGAAAATATATTAAATTAATAATTGCCCTCACTGCAGAGTTACCCTCACTGCAGAGTTGTCCTCACTGCAGAGTTACCCACACAGCGGAGTTACCCTCACTGCAGAGTTACCCTCACTGCAGAGTTACCCTCACTGCAGAGTTACCCTCACTGCAGAGTTACCCTCACTGCAGAGTTACCCTCACTGAGTTGCCCTCACTGCAGAGTTACCCTCACACACCGAGTTACCCTCACTCACCGAGTTACCCTCACTAAGTTACCCTCACTGCAGAGTTACCCTCACTGCAGAGTTACCCTCACTGCAGAGTTACCCTCACTGCAGAGTTACCCTCACTGCTGAGTTACCCTCACTGAGTTGCCCTCACTGCAGAGTTACCCTCACACACCGAGTTACCCTCACTCACCGAGTTACCCTCACTAAGTTGTCCTCACTTTTCATCATGTAGTCCTGGCGCCACAAAATATTCTCCACTCAAAAAAATAAGCAACTACACAAGTAAAGCTAATCCAAAAAATGCCAGCGATTTAAACACACACTAAAAAGGAACCTAGCGTGGAACTCTATGGTACAAACCCAGGCTAAATAACTACGAAAACGAGCATAATTATAGCATTAACTAATAATCAAGATAATTAATCAGACGTTAATGAGTGCAATGTTAAGCAAAGTGCAGTAATAGTGTCAACATTAACACTCACCAACATATATTGTACACAGATGTTCTATGCGCGCGTCATAGGCGGCCATTTAAAGAGCAATAAAAATTACGACCGTGTTTTAGGTGGCCATTCTAAGGCCGGCGCTGAAACGACTATGTTAGGCGGCCATTTAAACAGCAATAAAAATTACGACCGAGTTTTAGGTGGCCATTCTAAGGCCGGCGCTGAAACGACAATATTTCTGTACTGGTACATAGGCTGTATTGGTACAGAATTCATCTTGGGTAAGAATAGCCTTATGTATCATAGACAATTCATGGTCACGTTTCAGGTAGGAATAGCATTACAATGTGCTGGAGGGGCACGTAACGTTGAAAAGCTCTTAAAGCTTGAGCCGGACTTGCGTAAGGCACAATGCAGCAACAGATCCAAAATCAAATAAATAAATACTACAATAAATGCGATGAAGTTCTTGATCTCAATGTCACTTATTTGCTTAAATCGCAAGTTGACTAAAAATTTAAAAGCAAAGAATAGTCCACAAAAATTCATATCTTTATAGAAATATGAAAAAAAATGTATTCAAAGATATGAATTTTTGTGGACTATTCTTTGCTTTTAAATTTTTAGTCTTGATCTCGCGTAGTTAATGGAAGTTCACTTTACTTCTCGCATGATGACATAAATTCGGATGAGAAATTATCATATAGGATAATAACTTAACACTATTCTGCACTAAATGTGGACTGAACAGAAGATTAAAGTAGCAGCAGATACAGTATTATAAAAATTGGTTTAACAGCAATTGATAAAATCTAGCTGGTAACCTTGCTGAATTCATCAGTTAACATTTCTAATTGATACAAGTTGTTTCACATGAATCAAAATTGTTATATAATTAAAAATATTACAAGCGGTACAATGACAAAGTATCTTTTACGATTTATTAAATAAAATAAAATAAGTTTGTTCAAATTTGATCTCAACAAACTTATTCCCACAGAAAAGCCCGCATTTTTTGAAGAAATTTATTAAGAAAAGTCGAGGTAATACATTTGTATGCTTCACACTAAACAAGTTGTCAACTCTCAACCATACGAGCTGTGTTAACACCAATACTTTTTAACTTACTACAATAAAATCACACATACCTAGTAATGTTAAGACATTATCATAAATGCCTTGTGTATAGCCAGTTCCTATAAATGAAAAAGCTTGAAAAATGTATTTCAACTTTCAAAATGATTGAGAAACATTGAAAAAATATTGATATAAATAATGAATAAAAGTTTCATGTCGATTCCTGCGACGAAAAATCAATGAATTTCTGAACAAATTTCATATTTTTCATCTGAAACTTCCCGGTCCTTCAAGTTCCACCATCAAATAAAAATTAACAAATTCAAGTAACTTTGCTGGTAACGTTAAATAGTATAAAAAACAAAGCAGACAATCTACAGGAACAAATTCAAGCGATTTCGAATTTTACAGAAAAAAAAGTATCTCAAATTGCAATAGTATAAATGTATGGTTTGCTGGAATTCAAGTATGCCAAGTAATTACTAAACAGAATCAAACATTTCATTCTAGTTGCTTTTGAAAACAAATTCATTCTAATTGCTTTTGTAAAACAAAATCTAAAAAAAGATGCAGTCACGCCTTAAATTGTAGTAAAATTGAACTTAATTTATCAATTTTACAATAAACTTAATTATAAGTTGATCAGTAAATCTGTTTCACTGCAGCCAGCAAACTCTGGTGCAGGAGACAAACAAGCTCGTCCATTCAATACAGTAATTAACGAGTACTAAATTTGGAATGAGAGAATATTTTGCCAACATTAATTACTTAGTATCCTAGTAGATATCCTGCAGGACAATGAGAAAGATTCCAGAATATGAGTTGCACAGAAATACAGCAGCAAACATAGGTAAAAATTTCCGGTGAATGAACAATGATATGAATTTCTTAAAAAATATTCAATGCCGCACATGTTCATCCTAATCTATATCTAACTTAACCAACTTTTAAAGCAACAAAAGTTTTCCAGTCCACCACAACAACTAAATGAAGTTAAACTTAAGATTTAAAACGCATCACGGGCAGAAAAATTTACTGTTAACCTAAAATTTACCCAAATAAAATCCAAAGGGCCTTAAAGCAGGTTATCTCAAAACTTGAAACTCAATTTATCATATTTTATGATTCCAAGAGAGGTGTAGCCACAGTCCTTACTAAGCGACCAGTAACTGCCACGGTTATAGCCAATTAAAAATACAGACAAAGTTCATCATTAGTCTAACAGCCAGGGGCCGTATTCGTCTCAATTAATCCTAATCTTATCATCAATTAGTAGTAATAAGATTAAGATTAATCAATTATCTTAACTATGGTCAATATTAAAAGTTTGGTCCAGTCAATAAGGCGAGATTCTAAAGTCACAAGTAAAAAATATGACACAAATTAATAAAGTTTGTCCCAGTAACTCGCGTTGAAGTTCAAACCTAAGTTGGATAGCATTCAGCGACCAGTCAAGAGTTAAATGTTTGTCCATTACAAATCCAATTTAACTTCTATCATGTTTTCTGTGGATTTAAGGTTTACACTAAAGCGATATCAACAAAAAACGTCACATTAAAACACAAGATATGTACGTATGGATCCAATTAATAGGTAATTAATAGCATAAGCAAATAACCAAAAGCTCAAGAAGAGTTGCACGTTTATGGTCTTTGTACTAGCGGTTTTCTCGTAATGAAGCCATTACTTTTTTACAGTTTCCACTTTCTCGCTGTTACATCAAATTCTTGGTGTAATGTAAATGATTCAATTATATTGATCATATGGACCCTTCCATTATACCTTGACCTTCATTTCTTTTACAATCCAAGTTTTAAAACTTATAGGAATAATCAATTTGAAATGCGCGACGCACAAGTAAAACCATTAATTCATATTCTGATCTTCGAAAACATAAGAAAATGTTTCCGAATTCTAAATGAAATATAAAGAAATCCACGCTTATCCTACAGAATGAACGAAAGCAAGAAGAAGCTAAGGCGCGCTTTATAAAACAGGATGCGTTCGTGTATTGTTCTGATGTCACGAAGAGTGACAGGCACCAACACTTATACAATCTACACAAAACAGTGCACGCACACAATCAATATATTGTAATTCGTGTAATAGTGAGCACACTTAACGCAGAGTCCACAACACAAAACTTCCAATTGTAATGCACTAGTGTTGGGACGCAAGTGTCGCGCTGGTCTAAAGGCACCTCGGAGCGCACGAATCACAAAATTCAAAATGAAGCTCGTGAATCATAAAATTAGTAAAGGATTCACGCAGAGACATGATCACGAAGCATCGCGAACGAGGACGGTGTCATGATGATGCTTGATGTGATGCTTCAGGGCCGTCTGATTCTTGGGGGCAAAGTCACACATGTTGCATGATGATACCCCATCCCCCACATGGTTACCCCCCACGTGGCAGAGCAGATGTTTCTTCATAGCATCAGCTCTGTTAGTGGAGAAGTTACAGAGTGTGCAGTGCTTTTGCATGTGCGAGCGTTTATGTTCCCTTATCTCACCAATGTCTTTGGAAACAAAATCACAACGCGCGCATGAGTACTCTTTGTCCTGATGTGTCAGCAAGTGTTTAGCAAGAGCCTCAGACTTGTGATAAACTTTAGAACAGTGAGGACACTTAACTTTTGGGACCGTTCTCTGGCTGCCAGCACTCGCGTCACTCGTGCTAGAGCCAGCGACGAGACTAACGTCGTATGCAGCGTCGGAATTTATCTCTACATCAGCAGTCAACTCTATTCCACCATCAGCACACAGTTCGGAGGAGGTCATGTGAACAGCGTCAGGGTTTTCACAGCCATCAGTAGGGTTTTCTGCGTTACTAGATCCTGCACGAGGGTTTTCAGAGCCATCAGAAGGGTTTTCAGGGTTACCAGATCCCGTAGGAAGGTGGTCAGCGACAGAAGGATTTTCAAGGGAAAATACGTTGAGGGTCAGGTTGCCCGCGCTGGACGGCTTGCGCTTGCGTTTCTTGGTTGGGGCGACGGCACGAGTTTGAGTTCTTGGACGAGTTGAGCGGCGATCCTGTGGGAGGTTTTGCATTAACTTGTGTGGAAATTTATAAATTCGTAGCTTATACTCTAGAATAATAATTAAAACTAAACAATCAGTATTAGTACAAGGTCTAAGAGCTTCCTCAGTATTAGGATGATAACAGGAGTAATTATATAATAATAATAAAATATGGCTTAATACATATAATAATAATAATCAAAAGTAATCGCACAATACATATAATAATCCAAAGTAATCACATAATACATACCCATATAAATACTTCACATTATAAATAATAAAAGAATATTTTCTTTCACGAGTCTGACCCTGAGTTTAACACTGCGGCCCCCAGCAGCAGGCTCTCCATCAGCACTGGGGGCGAGGTTCTTGACCTCCTCAGGAGCGGCGGCAGCAGCCACAGCTGCAGGGTCGACGTTGAAGCCATACAGGGAGTCTTCGTTCACCTGTAAGCATTCAACTGCATCAGAACCATGCTTGAATATTTCAACAGAGTATAAGCTACAGAGTATACCGTAAGCTACCGAGTATAAGCTAGAGTATAAGCTACAGAGTATACCGTAAGCTACCGAGTATAAGCTAGAATATAAGCTACAGAGTATAAGATACAGAGTATAAGCTACAGAATATAAGCTACAGAGTATAAGCTACAGATATAAGCTTCACTATAACTCAACTTGCAGATGAATTTTCCATCAATACCAGTATTCATGATAGAGCTCTACTAGAAAGAACTAAAATAATCTAAAAATGTTAGTCACATTATTATAGGTATTAGTTGCAATTTCATCATTGAGCAAAATCTCTACTTTTGGTGTTCTACATAAAAAATTGGCTTAATTACTTAATCATATCAATAAGGTACAGCGAGGCTTCAATAATAACTGGATGGCAACAATACAATTCCTTCCAGAGAGACTGAACTAAAATTCTTCACTGGAGACCAGCAGGAAGAAAATATTTAATGTGTACAGCCCCAATAAATCAAAAGTAATTATAAAGTAAAGAAAGTGACTTTAAAAACGAGGAAAAATAGGGAAATTTAAATAGAAACTGACAAGAACATCGAGCATGTCATCAGCTGCGTCTCCATCAGTCTTGTCAGCGTCAGCCTCAACACCGATGGCTTCATCAGTAGCCCCGAGCTCGCTGATGATCTGTTGCTCCATAGGCGTGAGTGGCGCAGCATCCAGAACTGCTACAGCACCACGGCAGCCACTCGATGCCACAGCGCCACGGCAGCTATTTGGTGCCACAGCTGAGATGCCAATGGCATCAGAAGGCATCATCGGGACTGGAAAAGAACAAATGATTGAATTAGGCGTCACTATGGGAAGTGTACACTGTGATTTAAAAACAAAATGTACTGACATTGTACAGTTATGCCTGAATGCTAGGAAGTATTAGTACAAATGATAGATATTGAATCATAAGAAAAGATGGATACAAAATCCTTACATGCAATCTACGTAGATTCAGTTTAAAATTATAAAACAGGACAGATTGTTCAAAGCTGGCATACTTATTGAGCTATTATTCACACATTTATTAGTAAGATTTCTAATATCCATAAGGAGTGAATTTTTAGGCAAGAAAGACCTATGAAGAATCATTTGCAGATATATACGGTAATCTAACAACACCAAATGTATATTAAAGCCCTCACCACTTGATGTTTCATTGATCAAGAAATTATGGTTGCCAGTAGAAAGGTTGTTGTTGTTGCCAGTTGGTGTGCTGCTGTTGCTGTTCTTGCTACCATCGCCAGACAACTCAGCCTGATGCTCCAATAACAGCTCGGACACTCGGTCCTTGTCAACGCTGCTCTTGCTGCGGTAGTTGCTGCCTTGCTGCCCACGTTGCTGCGAGGCAGATGGCGTCACTTGATGGTGTGGTGAAGATTGGTGAGTTTGGGGATGTGGTGAGGATTGGTACATCTGAGGATGTGATGAAGACTGGAGCGTCTGGGGATGTGGTGAAGACGGGTAAGTCTGGGGATGTGTAGATAAGTGCATCTGTGGATGTGAAGACTGTGGCACATGATGTGGAGAAGACTGCGGCATGTGATGAGGTGAGGATTGAGGTATATGATGAGGTGATGAATGAGGCATATGATGAGGTGATGACTGCGGCATGTGATGAGGTGATGAATGAGGCATATGATGTGGTGATGACTGAGGCATATGATGTGGTGAAGACTGAGGCATATGATGTGGTGAAGAATGAGGCATATGATGTGGAGAAGACTGCGGCATATGATGTGGAGAAGACTGAGGCACATGATGAGGTGATGAATGAGGCATATGATGTGGTGAAGACTGAGGCAAATGATGTGGTAGGGGCTGTTGATTAGGGGGAAGCTGTGATGATGGTTGACGAGCGTATGAATGTGTCAACTGATGTGGTCCACCACGGGCTGGCAGTTGAGTCTGTGTTTGGTATGCATGTACATAATGTGATGGTTGTTGATGCTCATTCACTGCATGTTGTTGCGCTGGACGATGTGGTTGACTGTGTGGTGGTGGTTGTTGTATGTGTCCCACTTGCTGATGCTGCTGTTGGTGACTGGAAAGCGTTCTCTGCTGCTGGAGCTGGTGCTGAAGCTGGCGGCGCTCCATTTCGAGTTGCTGTTGATGCTGCAGCAGCTCTTCTTTCTTGCGCTGTTGTAACATGTGCTGCGGTGGTGCATCTCCTGCAGGGTTACGGTATACCTGCTGCGGCTGTTGCCCTCCATTGCTTTTTGGTGAAGACAGCAACTGCTGCAGGTGACGAGAGGATTGGTTTGATGACTGCGGTGGGTGGGATGAAGAAGTCCCAGCAAGGTGAGTGTATTGTTGAGGGGAGGAACTCGATCTTGAGAGTTGGGGATGAGATCGCGCTACCATTGATGGAAGTGGGGCTGCTGGAGCACCATTGGGGGATGGGACCAGTCTGTTACTTTTGGGATCATACAGACTTATAGAAGATAGCTGCTGGGATTTGGTGAGAGATGTGTCATGGTGGGCAGCTGTGAGAGATGAGATGGATGGTAGAGAGATGGGTTTAGTGGGTGGCTTCAGTAATTTTGAACAAGAGTCTGACATCAACACAGATTGTTTCGAGTCGTCAAGTTCAGACTTGATGCGCTTTGTAGATGGCTCATATTCCCTTTTGTTCACACCAAAATTTTGCTTAGTATCTGCTGAAGATGTCGATGGAAGAGAAGGTCGAGGGAACTGAGGTGCAATGCCTGCTGGAGTGCCAGCACATGCCATGTTCATGTTAGCCACAGGCTGGGGAGGCTTGTGCATAACTGGTCTTGACTCATCAGGAAAAGCCAATCCTTTCACTCGAAGGCTCTGAGCTGCCTTGATCACATGACCCAAGTAGCACTCCTTGACACTCATCTCGCCTGTGTACATGAAGTCAAGAATTGGCTCTAGGTCCCTGGTGAGAATGTTGTTCAGAACCAGCACAGGGTTAACGCAGGGAGTCCACTCAAACATAGCTAGGAAAAACTCGCTGCACGTGGCCAGGACAAACTTGTGCACCGGGTAGAACTGGCCATCGCATGCAAGGGTGGCATCGGTGTACATGTGCTGAAACAAAATGAACATTAATAATTTGACTACCGGTATTGCACAATTTGCCTGAATTAACAGAAAATGCACCAGAAGAATTACTATTCAGTTCAGGTTAAACACAATTTACAGAGGATTCTGAAACCTCAACATGTTATGAAAAAATCCATAATACAAGTTAAAAATAAATTAACAAAATAGTCTTGTTTTACTCAATAAAATAAAACCAACTTACTTTATGCCTGAGTTTAGCAATGTTCTGACTGAATATATCCTTGTGCTCAGTCCATTGCAGCTCTAAAAAATTTCCAAGTGGTGCTGCAGCAGCAACACTTGCACCAGATGTAGGAGGAAGAGCTGCAGGAGGTGCAGCACTAGACTTCATTGCAGAGTCTGGAGCAGCAACTTTTGGAGGATTGACAGCTGTGTCTCCAGCACTACACCTGTTTGTTGTCATCACCTCTGAGGAAGTGGGAGCAGGGACGCTCTCACTGCTGGAGCTGGACATGTCGGCAGCTGCACTGCTGCTCATTCTACAAGTGAAATAAGCATGTCAATCAGTTTGTAGTCACCCAACATCTCACCATTCTGTTAAATTATCAACTTTTTTCACTGAAAAGATTCATTACTCTAAAAAATATGACCTCAATAAAAAAAATCCAACAATAAACAATATTTTTTGAACAAAAAACATAGGGGCCAGTACTTTCAAATATTTGTGAAATGTACCTATATATATCCATTTTCTAATATGATATATTCATGACCAATGCATTAAAAAAAGTGATTTTAGTTTAGTACACTTCAAATTTTCAAGTTAGTGAAAAAGTCCCATAGATGGTACTAAGGTTTTGCGTCATAACGGTTTTTTCATTTTTACATGTGAGAACAAAATATTTAATATACAGAAATTTCCTTGTATTCTTCAAGTTTTAACTCTAATGCTGGGAAATAGGGTAATTTTTTTGTAGAATGGAAGTATGGAAAATATACCTATAGGTACATAGTGATGCTAAGGAATTAAGAGATGATCTCAATTTATACTATGAGAATTATATGTACAATTTATAATTTGGTACATACAATATGAATATAATATAGGCTAAGGTGATTTGAACATGGTCAAAAAAATTTAGCATTAAACTATACTCAATTTCCCAACTTTAACTAGGTATGTTAACTCCAAATAAAATTGGCATGATTGTTTGCCATCATGGCCATGGAACATATCTATCCTTAGAGCCACGACCAGAGCTTTCCTGGCATTTTTGGAGCTGCAAGATTCCTGCTAGATGAAATAATTCCTATTTACTTATTAGTAATTAGGTAAGGTAGTCAAGCCAGGGCTGGAAAAATCCTACTTGTTTTCTGAAATATCCCAGCTCTAATATCATAGAATTTTAGTAGGTATGAAATCTTGCAGCTCTAATGCCATGCATTTTTGTTAGACAGAAAAATTGCATTTTTCAACTGTGCAAACATGTCGTTTCATATAATTTTCATCTTCCGCAATGATAGTGCAATCCACATTACTTTGACATACCTGCCAAAATATCCTGCAAAACGTAATAACAACAAGTCAATGCAAAACGTTTCCTTGAAGATCACATAGCTACGGTCACGTCAGAGCAGTCAGACTGCATTATCATGTGTTCAGTTGCCACTTAAGTGAAGCCAAATGATAGTTAGGCTGTTCAACTGTTTTAGGGTAAAATTAGAGATTTGGTATAAAACATGCAACTGCAAGGAGTTTGTAAATAAGTTTGCTGCTTGTTAAAGGCTTTTCATGGCCGAGATATGGAATTCAAGGCTCAAAGAAATGGAATCATGGCTCTAAGAAATGAAATCATGGCTGGCAAACCCATAAAACCACGGCTCAAAAAATATAGTCACGACTCCCCAAGTAGATATATTCCATGCCTGATTCAAGCCACAACATTACAAATGGATTGAAATTTGTCACTTTGACTTTGGAGCCACAAAATTTCATTGAAAGTAACTTAAGTAGGGTAAACGCACCATATTCCAACATTGTGGGTAATTCCGACGCCCCTCAACCTTTTCCTTTATATTAAGCTTGGTTTTTGTTCCACGCATGCATAGATGGTTGAAATAGTGACGTCATACTATTGCATGCAAGATTTCTGCAAAACACTAGGTCTAGCGGGAAAATGTTAAGATCCGCAGAGCAAAAGTCCAAGTCAGCTAGTGAGAACATCGAAACACGTACGAAAGTTGATAGTTGACCTTGCTTTACTAAATAGTGATAAACTGTTTGTGTAGAAAGAATATTATGGTTTGAGCCTTTTAAATAAGTCTGTGAATATATTAGGAATCCTTTAGGTATACCGTACTTGTATTTGCTGATTTTAAGTGGTAAATAAATTAATAGATGATTGATTTAAGAGGCGGTTTTAGACACATAAAAACTAATTCTGACACAGGGTGTCAGAATTACGACACAGGGTGCCGGAATTACAACACACTGTCACACACAGGGTGTCGTATTCCAACACAGGGTGTCGGAATTCCAACACAGAGGGTCAGAATTACGAATTACGATTTTGAAGCGCTGTCGGAATTAGTCTCACAATATGCCACATTTAGTCACACACAGTGTCAGAACTCAGCGATTTTGTAGATTTGAATTCTAAAGGCTTTAAAATAAATATGGCAACAGTTTGTGACGTTTCATCATTGCTGGCGCATAGTGTGGTGTTTTGAGAGTGACGTAAACCAATCAGAACTCAAGTTGCGCATACGGTGATCTATTTTAAGCCATTCAGCCTATTTCATGCTATGTCCTTAAGGTGTCGGAACATGGTGTGTAGTGTTTACCCTAAGTAAATTACAATCCTGGGCAAAGGCCAAAGCTAATATAAACAGGCAAATTTTACCATAAGCACAGGCAATTTTGGCTGATTTACAGATGGCTTCTGCTTAATTTTTAAGAATGGAGTCAATAGCCATAGGAATAGCCTAAAAATTGACAGAAGTAGCACAACAATGATTTATAAAATAAATAATTCATGTAACTAAAAAGAACTTATGGCTGTAAAAATAATTAATTCATGGTCATGGCTTTAAAATTCTAGTCATGCTTGGAAAATTTATATTTTATATACCAGAACCAGACCGTCACTCACAGTCTCACAGACACAGTCAGACACCTGAGTTAGCAACTAATACTAAGAGTCTAAGACTAAGAGTTTGGGTTTCTAAGTTTGATAGGCTTCATGGATCATGGACGTTGGACGATGCCAATACCACCAGACTGACCAGAGACAAGAGATTGAAGAGAAAAACTGTTTGAGTGATTTGAAGTAAGTTGTAATTCAAATTTTCTAAATTAAGGATCATATTGATTTAGCATCGAAAAGGTATTACAATCTTTTTTTTTAGCTAATGACTGATTTGCTAATTGCCACGGTTAGGCACGGTACATCTTTGAAAATTGAAGCTGAATTCGACGACAGAGTTTAAACAGTTCAAAAGAGGGAAATTTTTGATAAATACAAGAAGACATGGTTATATAACTGAATACTCTCATATTATATATTACATGACGTTGTAAACAAATATATTTACCTTTATACAGACGTCCGTCCACGCCAACATATATCTTTCGTGTTTGTAAACATTGAAATTAAAATCGCCATCTAGCGTCAGAAAACATTACTGCTGAAAAAAATAAGAGTTAGAATCATGTTTCTTGGCTCTGACTCATCGTCTATTGAATCTATTTACCAAATCTAACCTATTCCATTAATATAAAAAATTCGTAACTTTACGCCATAGCTAACTCTTTTATAGAAAATTACACACAAATTTTCATTAGCTTTTGTCATTTAGACAATGCCTTTGACGCAGTCAGTTCATTCAAGAAAATAAGTAACTACAGCTACAAATTTTACACTGTTTGAATTATATTCTCATTCATTGTTGAATTAGAGGTTAAATTATTTTTAATTGTATCTTCATATTTGGGCTTCACAATGATTGTGAATGTACACGGTCCTAAAGTCACCTCTCGGACATTTCACCGGCCGGACTCGCAGCCGGTTTCGCGACCGGTCTCCAAGATTCAGTGAACATAGAATATCTCCCAAACTGATGAACGCAGCTCGATAAAACTTTGCATATGCCTGCATTAGAGCCTAACGGTGACGTTTAGGTCGGTATTATATTTTTTCAATTTTACCTTCGCTTTCAACTTATTCGGTCATACAGGCCAAAATTCGCAGTTAACAACGAATAGTTTCTAAACTACTGATTAGATTCGAACGCAACCTTTAATACAATCCTAGTCACTGAACGGTGATATATATATATGGCAAAATTTTTCAACAAAGGCCTCGTTAGAGAGTTAACGACTATAGTCACTATACGGGGAAACAACCAGCATTTCTGCGGCTGATTGCCAAATACCAGTGAACATTAAATATCTCCCTAACTAATTAACGGAGCTCAATGAAACTTCACTCATGCATTCACTATGACCTAATGTTGATGTTTAGGTCCTGATTTCGGTTTTACCTTCTTTTCTAAGTAATGCGGTAAGTTTCGTTCAAATCTGTATAATAGGATAGAAGACTGCGAATTTTTGACCGTATGGCCGCTTAACTTAGAAACAGAGGTGGGCAGTAGCGCGCTACATGTAGCGGCCGCTACATTGTCAGTAGCGGTAGCGGTAGCGGCGCTACATTTAAGCAATTGTAGCGGTAGCGGTGGCGTCCGCTACATATCTAAGTAGCGATACGAGGTTTTGCCGATACAGCGCTACCGCTACATTTATAGATAAAGCCTCTAAATTTTATTTAATAGTATTAAATATCATTTAAAAACCAGCATGATACACACATAATATAAATTACAGAATAAAACTGTACGAAAGATTTCGGTGTAATGTTGTTAACCTCAGCCTGTTACTAGTGTCAACACGTTAGTAGTTAACAGAGGTGGGCAGTAGTGCACTACATGCATGTAGCGGCCGTCACATTTTCAGTAGCGGTAGCGGTAGTGGCGCTGCATTTAAGCAATTGTAGCGGTAGCGCCCGCTACATTTAGAGCATGTAGCGGTAGCGGCGCTACATTTAAGCAATTGTAGCGGTAGCGCCCGCTACATTTAGAGCATGTAGCGGTAGCGGTAGCGGCCGTTACATTTCAAAGTAGCGCTGCTCAGCTCTGCTTAGAAACTAAGGCAAAATCGAAAAAAATTATTACGACCTAAAAATCGTGTGTAATGACTTAATAAATGCATGTACGAAGTTTCAAGGAGCTTCGTTTATTAGTCTGGGAGATATTACATGCATGTTCACTGCAAATGGGTATGGGCAACGGAAATTACGGTTGCTTCTCCGTATAGCCTTATAACTAGCGATGAAGCCTTAATTGGAAAATATTTCTCTACCTAAACATCAACGTTTGATGATTATATATGTCTATTCAAGGTTACGTTAGAATCTGTTTAGTAGTTTAGAAACCATTCTATGGCCACTGCGAATTTAGGCCCGTATGACCTTATAAGTTAAAACGAATCAGAAATCGAAGAAAAGATCTGGAACTATATCTCACCGTTAGGTCTCAATGAAGGCGATTGCAAAGTATCATCGAGCTGCGCTCATTAGTTTGGGAGATATTGGGAGTAACTGTCTGGGACAGGGTGGCCCAGTGGTTACAGTTCAGAGTACCAAGATTGACGCACTAGAGAGGCGCGGGTTCGATCCCAGCTCTGTGCGCCAGTTTCTGGTCAGAATCGGCGAGGAGGCCGGGCGGTTAAGCACAGCAGAATTGTAGCAGTGAGTTGCGAGTTCGAGACCGCAAAATGCTGTGAATGTTCTGCGATGATGAGAATCGGCGACAGGCCTACGGCCTAATTAACGCTGATATTATTATTATTATTATTATTATTATTATTATTATTATTATTATTATTATAATTGTCGTCAACACGTCACAGTAACTGTCATCAACACGTCACAGTAACTGTCACCAACACGTCACAGTAACTGTCGTCAACACGTCACAGTAACTGTCATCAACACGTCACAGTAACTGTCATCAACACTTCACAGTAACTGTCATCAACACGTCACAGTAACTGTCATCAACACGTCACAGTAACTGTCACCAACACGTCACAGTAACTGTCATCAACACGTCACAGTAAGTAGTAACTGTCGTCAACACTTCTCAGTAACACTTTGACCGTGAACGATAACAGTTTAAAAAAAAATTCTTACCGAAGATTTTCTCGATTTATTTCGCTTAATTTCTTTGCATTAACAAGCGCCTAGAATTTAATTACAATTTAGCATGCAATTTAAGTCAAATTGTTCAGATAAAAGCAAGTGAATGCACTTAAAAAATTTCCAAGCATCCTTGTGGCTGGACAACAAAGTTGGTGCGCGAAGAAAAAATCGTGTTGGTTGAATCTAAGCAATGCTTCATTACCATAAAGCTTCGTAGTAGAAGCTTTAATTTACTGCATTCGATCAATGAACTTCACGAAGAGGAATTGTAGAAACAATTTGTAGATTATCCTTAATAAGATAGCTTTGGTTATCAAGTTATTTAAACGTGAAAGTAATGAAAATCATGGAGAAATTGGGACGAGTGTATCTCAATTAATAAATTGAATAATAGTAAGTCAAATAATTAGCAGTAATTCATTCATTCTTCTATTATTTAGCTCTACACTATTGCCATGATCAGTCAATGGCCTTCCACATTCAGCCCGATTCCCATACATGGAAAAATCAAATCCACGTTCTTGCCATTTTTACCCAGAAAAACCTCGGTAATCGGACTGCAGTAATTCGATGGCAACATTTCCAAGCAAACTCGTCCAATTTCCATCAGCGGGAACATTGTTCTCAAGGCCCCGTCTCCCATTGTATTAATATCGGTCCTGAGAAAATCCTTGTCACGACACCAAGAAAACTTTCGTTGCGGCGGTGAACGTAAGTACTTACGCTCTATTTTCTTGTCTATGATTGGTGGATTTGGCTTGAAAGGCCGTCAATGATTGGCTGGTGAACTTACGATCTCTTAACTTTTTTTGAAAGTATAGGCCATGATGACACCAAGAAAACTTTCGTTGCGGCGGTGAACCTGCGGTAGAATTGCGTTAGATTTTGTCCAAATTTCGATGCACTTTTGCACCTGTATTGGTCATCCTGACACGGTTATGGCCGGTAAATTGGCGTATCAGTGCTACGTCTGCTCCCTCCCTGTTTGTTCTGTTGGTGTAGAAGAGCGTCGCAATTTGGACAATACGAGCATTTCATTTTTTCGAGTGAAGGCTATTCAGTTCATCTGAAATTGTCTTATGGAATAGCGAATATATTAACTAATTTGATTGATAAATTGAAGGGGAAAATTAGCTCACCAAACCCCGAGTCGTATATAAATGCTTGAAATATACCGATGATCATTTAGCCGCTCTTTTATAAGAGCTTAAAATATACTGATGGTCATTTAACTGCTCTTATATAAGGGCTTCAAATATACTGATGGTCATTTAGCTGCTCTTATATAAGAGCTTCAAATATACTGATGGTCATTTAGCCGCTCTTTTATAAGAGCTTGAAATATACTGATGGACATTTAGCTGCTCTTATATAAGAGCTTCAAATATACTGATAGCCATTTAGCCGCTCTTATATAAGAGCTTCAAATATACTGATGGCCCTTTAGCTGCTCTTATATAAGGGCTTCAAGCGTCCCGATGCTCTTTTATTTGCTCATAAAATAATGACTTCAAAAATCTCATGCTCTTATTTATGCGATTTATATGTGGGCTGTAAATATTCAGATGCTCTTTAATTTGCATTATATCTATAGGCTTCAAGTATCCCTTTGCTCTTTTGGCTGCTCTTTATAGAAGAGAGTAACAATTCTCACAGATCTGCTGCCAATTAGATGGAGTAACTACCGTATTTAGGCCTTGTAGCCAATCATAGCATAATATAGCAAAATCAGCATTGAAGAATAGACCACCAGCCTGGGGCCATACTTTAAAAATTCGCTTAGTGAACGTAAGTACTTACGCTATATTTTCTTGCCTATGATTGGTAGATTTTGCTGGAAAGGCCGTCAATGATTGGCTGACGAACTTACGATCTCTTAAGTTTATTTGAAAGTATAGGCCCTGAACACCAGGGGCCATACTTTAAAAATTCGCTAAGTGAACGTAAGTACTTACGCTCTATTTTCTTGTCTATGATTGGTGGATTTTGCTGGAAAGGCCGTCAATGATTGGCTGATGAACTAACGATCTCTTAACTTTTTTTGAAAGTATGGGCCCTGGGGCCATACTTTCAAAACTCGCTAAGTGAACGTAAGTACTTACGCTCTATTTTCTTGCCTATGATTGATGGATTTTGCTTGAAAGGCCGTCAACGATTGGCTGATGAACTTACGATCTGTTAATTTTTTTTTTTTTTTTTGAAAGTATAGGACTGCCATGACCCCAGACCTCCAGGACACAAGTCAAAGCATTATAAGAATCGGCGAAGGGCCAACCTGGTCCTATACTTTCAAAAAAAGTTAAGAGATCGTAAGTTAATCAGCCAATCATTGACCGCCTTTCAAGCAAAATCAACCAATCATAGAAAAGAAAATAGAGCGTAAGTACTTACGTTCACTTAGCGAGTTTTGAAAGTATG